GAAGAGACCATCATCATTACATCGAAAACTAATCCGTGAGGAAAGATCGAAGGAGATTGCGGTTCGCGCATCGTTTGCGCCGGGCAAAGAAGAACGTAATGAATAATTAGTGTTTTGCAGATGATATTTTTACGGTTTAGCGGTGGAAATAATTTGACAACGAACAAGACAGTGTACACTGCGATCAAATACGAAATTCTGGCCATGAGATGGGATGGGCAGTAGGATTTTTAAGACTGCAATTTTGTAACTCGGTGCGCGATACAAATCACGGTGGCCCAACAAATGTGTCACGATCATAATATTCGGTTAAGTTTTACGACAAACGAACATTGGATTTCGCGTCGTCGCGGAGAAAGTCCAAAGGGTTTCCGTAGGCGCTGGGTGTTATAACGTGACGCCGACACGCGCTCGAAAATCGTTTACCGACCAGAAGACTTTTTCACGCGGTGAAATTTCCGACCGGCCTATTATTATCATTAACACTTGCGCGTTGAATAGCCGAAACCGTTCGGAATACAAAAGGGCGCCGCAATCGAGAAAAAATATCTACTCCGGTTTAATTGCTGCTGTACTACAGCAGAAGAGATCGCGACAACGGTGCTGCGTTTAGCGACCGGAGAGTATAATTGATTTCCGTCCGGACGAAAAGACCGAACTGAGTGTTAAAGTTTAATAAACGATTTAACGCAACTGTCGTCGGACAACTGCGGCGACGGCATTATTCTCCGGAGACAATGAAATAATCGGGTATGTCGCCAGAACAACGAACTGACCGCTGGTCAAGCAATTTTACAGCAATCGCGGTCGAGATTTGAATTTACTCGCTCGAAACGCATTACGAACGCATGTTTAACATATATTATTATCATAATGATATATTCAATCGTTAAAATGTCTCTAATGCGGTTTATTCACCGTGTTCAAATGACGTGTTTTAAAATTTGACTTTTGAAGGACACGCGTCGCGAATTAGTTCTGGTATCCAGTTCTAAAATGTTTGCCATTATTTACTACTGGAATATGATAAAAAATGAACGGTTCGTTACCGAGATGAACAAACGTAATAATAGTTTCATTGTGTGTTACAATCCTGTTAACCGTACAGGTGTACATTTCGTGCGGGAAACGATTGGCATGCGATAACCAGTTTTGAATGAATTCGTGTTGTATCAAAATCAAAGCATTTTCTAAAATATTTGCTAAACATCGGCAATATTTTGATATCTTCTACGCGCTCAATATAGACGCAAGTAGGCACACACGGTTAGAAATGTCAATACAGTTTTGATTTTCGATTTCTAAAATGACTATTATCTAGGACAATCGGTGGTGCGACGACTATATTTCAAATTGAAACGTCCGCAAAATAGGTTCTTCGATAGTAATACTAACAGTATTTATTTTTTCTCATGTCGCGCGTTATCCACGTACACATAGCACATACCTCCGTCGAGTACGGCCATGCGAAGAAATTAAACGAAAACGAACGCTAGGTTTTACGATATAAATTTACGGACGTAGAATCTCTTGTTCGGATATCCGATCGGTCAACCGTACGTTCATTTTATTAAAGCAGCGCGCGTTCGCCGTCGTCAAACGGGTTAATTATGTTCATAATTGAAAATGTCACATTCTAATGACCCGGCCAGTTGGCATGTGTGCGAACAAAAATTGTAATTTTTCCGACTTGCGTAATATGATGTGTGCACATTCATCGTCGCAGGTCAAGCGCTAATAATAATAAGATATATATAAATGCACCGAACGTTATTATCGAAACCTGCAGTGGCGGATGATTGCCGTTTCGACGGATTCGGTATTTTTCAAAACCAGTAGGAATCTACATCGTGCGCGTGTGCATTCGTACACGAGCAAGCTTTCACTCAAACCTCGGCGGATTTGCCGTACACGATCCGCGCGTGCACCTTCGCGTACCGCATCCGTATTACGTATTAGTTATATCGGCGGCGAATCCGAAAAAAAAAATAAATAAATAAATAAACATTTCGAAATCGGTGAAAAACAAAAAAGCCTTGTGCTGTCGAAAGCCCGTTGGCCGTCGTCCGTGTCCGATCGCGTTTTGAACACGAACATATCCGTCTTGTAAAATCGATTGTATTTCATATCTCTACGCCCGTGCATTATACACATTCGTGTGTACCGAATTCCACGGGCGTACCGCGCGCCGTCGATTTCGGCAACCGTATATTATTATTATTATTATTATTATTGTGATTACGATTATTATTATTACTTTTAACACCGCGGGTAACACAATGACTGCTACGAAACGACACGTTGTGACCAATGGTCGGCATTGATTGGCGGTTTTTCCCGTAAAGAATAGTGTCGAAACGTTCCGACGACGACGAGCCACACGCGTTTAGCAAAGTAACGGATCGCCGGTATCGATTTCGAGCGCGTATCGCACCACCATGCGCGTGCACGAGTCCAACTGGGTGCGTACGACGGACGTCGGTTCGCGGCGACATCGTCATCCTAAAATATCGGTAAAACTTCGTCTCGTCGTCCAACAGACGAGGTAACGGTGTGGAAAATTCTCCATCTGCAGATCTTTTTTCCCACAATCTGCGTGTTCCGCTGTTCTTCAAAGATCTCCGATTTTCTTCTTCTTCTTCTTCTAAACAAAGCGCCACCATGGCTAAATCGCAGGTACTAAAATTCGTGAACATTATGCGCACTTTCCGCGATATTGTTTGAATCGATACTGACGAGTTTTATGTCGAGTCGGAAACCGTGAAAAGTTGTGCCGAGCCGGAGCCGGAAGCGTGATATGTGTGTTCTCCTCTTTCTGGTGCCGCACCGATCCGATTTTCGGAGCAATATCGGACCGTAGTCGGATCGGAGGCGTGTATGACAAGTGTATCCCGGTTCATCGGGAACGCTACGAGCGGCGTGGACGTTCGACGGAGATGTACCAACGGGGGAAATCGGTCGTTGAAACGATACACAACCAATCAATTATTGGCCCGCGGTACATTACTCTCGGACGGAATGCAGACGGGTGCAGGACGAAAACGTTAAGGACCGCCGAAATACAGTAATACCGTTATCGTCTCGCACGGCGCACGTAAAGTACACACGCCTCATTATTATATCGCACACCGCGGGTTTTGGCGAACTCGATACGATACAGTTGTTTTTGTTGTCGTAATCATCATCATCTTCATCGCTAGCAAGGAGTTATTATGACACAAACGTGGTGGAGAGAGGCATTACATTTTGTCGGAAAACGTGCGTTAATACATTGTTTCAGTAATGGTAATATGAATAGTTGGTAACAATAACAATAACTGAAAAGTTATCACGGTCGCAACGCATATGCGCGACCGCGATCCCGGTTTGAACGTGCGATTGGGTTTCGGTCGGATGGTAGAGAAATCTCCGTGACACGTGCCGCCAAAATCAAATTTTCCACCCAAGGCCGTGCGTCCCCTATCTACGGAGGCGTTGTTTCCGTCAGGGTGATGAGTTAAGTCCCACCGAAGACGTTTTCCTTTGACCTGAACGTATTACTTATATTCACACGCACTGAACTTCTCCGGTTACTAATAACTGTTGTGCGTTCGCAGTGTGTGGGCACGCATATATTACGTGTATTTCGGGTGCGCGTAATATATGTGTTGTGACGTACGTGCACGTCAGAATATCGAAAAACAACTAGGTCCGACTGCGAACCTTTATAGGAGGCTAGGGCTCATAACATATTGTTTAATACAGGAAAAATCATAATTGATTTTATATGATATTTTTAATTTAATTTATTGACCGAAAAATAAAAATAAAAATGAAATACGTTTTATGTTGAACGTAAACTATGGTAATTTGAAAAAAACTAAAATCCTTTTTTCTAAGTAATGATATCTACATTCTTAACATATTGTTTATTATTCAATAAACATCGTTATACTATCGGTTGAGGGAGGTTGTAGAAATATTTCACCCCAATTAAAATATTCCCTGAATTCAGTCGCATGATATGTGTATTTTATACATAAATTAGGTGTATGTAGGTAGTACACGAAGTTTACGAATAACGTACCTAATTCATTTTGGCAGTTTAATTACAAACCTTTTTATAGATATAGTTTTCATATTTTCAAATCAAAACAATGTTATTGTATATAACTTGTTTATTACGCGTCTAAAAATAAACATATTTGGTATGCTCTTATTATTCGTTTTATAAATACTCGTTTCAAAATTAAATATTAAATGTTCTATAAATTATTCTATTACTCAAATTTATTTGAAATATAATAATTATATTAAAAATTTATTTTAAAAATAATATTTTATATGATATTAGTAAAATGTAAATTCCGAATATTTCATTAAATAACGTATTTGTGTGAAAATGAAATTTTTAAGAGTTTTGTAGAAAGTATGTAAACATTTTAAATCATTATTAATGGTTATTCAAGGATCTATTAACTACCGTATAATTAACCACAAAGTAATTATAAGAAGATTAAATGACGTGGATACGATTAAAGTTGATTTAACCATTTTACAATTTATACTATACCTATACACAAATATACAAATCAAATTACACGAATAAAGCAAAACTATATGAAGAAAGTAATATCATTATTATGTATGTTTACAGATTGTAAAAATAAATTTTGAATTTCAAAGAACAAAAAAAAAAAAAAAATATGAAACATTTTGAAAACTGTATGTACACGTGATACATATACCTAAATTTTTTCAATTTATAGATATTTTGAAACGATATCAACCACTTGATGGCCGTTTAAAAAATATAAATACGCGCATTAAATTATGTCTGCCATATTTTATTGTATTTCGATTTCGTTTACTACGTTAAAGTGCAATTCGCACAAGTTCATGTTGTATACACAAAATTCTACAGAAAATGTTAAAAAAATATAGATTACCGTCGAACCATCGTCCCGTTAACAAGCATGTAGACGTGATATTATATAGTAAATATCAAACGGATAACTTACCCTTTGTACGGAAACCATTTTGAAGCGTTGACCACGACACTTGGAACGACAAGAAACTATTCGAATTGATCGAACGTTGAAACGCACACGCACACGCACACACACACACAACGGTGAGTATATTTGTATAGATGTATATACGTGTAGGTTGTATTTACAAAGACGTTTGGAAGAGTGCAATTGTCGTGCACGTGTAATTGAAAACGGTGTTAATGCGTTTCGTTTTTGGACGTACTATGTATACGGTTTGGAGTTTAGGTAACTAGACACTAGGGTTTCGGCGGGAAACAGTTTCGATTATATAGTCGGGGACTCGCGTCTCCGTCGGCGGTGGGAATGCGGTCGGCATCGGGGTGGGGGCGCGCGGCCGTAGGAAGAAAAATCGCGTTCGTACGGAAGAGCAGCGCTAAAAAAGGTGTACCATATCCGTTGTCAAGGCCTTCTCCAGGCACACGACCGGTTCGACGCATATAACGACTTTGAGGATATTATTCTTATACATATACTCATATATATATATACGAGTATGTACAGCAGTGGCGATTATATTTTAAATTTTTCCTCTCTCTCGCACTATGTGTTTTTTTAAAAATTTATTTATTTTTTTTATATTGTCAATTCCTATCGTATTAGTACACACTTCCCTTTGACGATCATATTTTATATAATACACTCGACTGCCTACTGTACACTATAGTAGTTGCTCCGGTTGTGCCGCCGATAATATATTATTTTTAGAATATATTTTACGCGTAGGCACGTTGTATAAACTTTTATTAACGTCACCGTATCTCATATCATAATGTATATTTGAGGTCGATCGGCCAGTTTCCGTCTACATACGGTATTTTATCATTTTTCGATTGAGGGAGTATTAAGCTATTACTTTTGGTGAAGCCCTTTCACCCAAAACAATTTAATTTTTTTATTCAGGTCTAAAAAATGTTATTTTAAATAAGTACGATATGTCTGTGTATTGTAATATAGTTACTATTAATTTGTAAAACAGTATTTTATACTTTTTAGCCAATGATTATTAAACACATGGTAGTCTTTTTCATCTTTTGGCTCGGTGTTAAAGCCCCCATAGTTCCCACCACCAATTGATGCAGTCATAAATGTCTACGTTACATACAGTAAATAAGGTTTCTACGTATAATCGATATGACATAACATTAACTTGTCGACTGTTTTCACCTAATTACAATAACTTAGAAAATATTGATGGATTTATAAACTATATCGCAGTCCATCATCGATTTGACTAAAAATTGTAGGATTCTAAACATCACGAAAAATGTTATACAATCCGACTGTAAAAAATATCAAATATGTCAAGTTGGTAACATGTTCTCTATAGTTTCCTTCGGATTAATATGACGTACTTGAAGGTGTCATAGTTACATCCTATATTATCTGTATCTCAGATCCAGATCAACGTAAGTCACATTATACTAATTTTTCACGATGAGAGCAAAAGAATTGGAATAATTCGAATGTTACCTGCTTACAAAGTTTACATTTTCAATTAATGAGTAATAACCGGAATGAAAATATCGTTACAATAATGACAATACCATGTATCTACATTTCACTAATTGTTCAGGAGAGTAAAAAAACTGAATAAATATTAAAAGATATTATACACCTCATATTTTTACCGAATTTAAATTTAAGTTTTGATTATTCAACATTAATTTTATTAAAGTTCTTTAAATTTGGTTGCTGTTTAAAATTTAGTGTAGTTACTTGGTATTTATTAAAGTTTTTGTGAGATACGTGTTATTGAGCAGTGTTTTAATATAGTTGAAATTTATAAAAATACTAAATAATATATCCAATTTGGAGGGGAAATAATTTATTTTAGGTTATTGCACAGAAAATAAATTTTGTACGTAAGGAGATAACAAATTTGTTGATACCAAAAACTCATTTTATGTAAAATATCAGATACGTGGTATGTCATTAGTGTAACGATATATTGAATGTAAAAAAATATATCAATTATTATTAAGTGATAATAATCTGAAAATCGTTATTTTTAGACTTAGGTACAGATATGTCACG